CTCTCTGCAGTAGCAGCAAGCTGAGGACGAAGACAAAGAAACACGCCTCAAATGACCAAAAACAAAATCAGTGGGACCAGCAGTTAGCGTAATGGCTATGTCGCTGGACTCCCACGTAGTTGACCGTGGTTCGAGTCCCGGACCTGGTGGCTTAAACTCACGTCGGGCGTGTGTGCTTGAGTGCCCAAGATTCCGAGAGAATGGAGGAGAAGGGATTGCGGCGTGGCCATCCCCCCTGGGGGGTGATTTCCTGCTTTCTGTCTCTCTGTCTCTCTCTGTCTGGCGAGCGCACATGCCCTATAGCAAAAACCTCTCAAAAAAAAAAAAAATCAGTTAATATTGCTGGGACTACAGAGACTTGGGACCAGCAGTTGGCGTCATGGCTATGTTACTAGACTCCCATGTAGTCGATTGCAGTTCAAGTCCCGGACCTGGTGGCTTAAACTCACACCGGGTGTGTGTGCATGCATGCCCAAGATCCCGAGAGGAGAATGGAGAAGGGATTGTGGCGTGGCCAGCCCCCCTGGGACGAGATTTCTCGCTTTCTTTCTCTCTGTCTCTCTCTGTCTTTCTGGTGAGTGCATGCACCCAATAAGAAAAAACCTCCCCAAAAAAAGGAAAAGGAAAAAAAAATGAATAAGTACAAACAAGACCGGGCCTTGCTATGTCACAGTATTCCTGCCTCAGCCTCCAGTAGGGACCACAGGTGCCACCATGCCGTCCTTTATTTAAGACAGACTCTCTCCGTGTTGTTGATCAACAGGCCCGAGAGCCTCTTGCTCAGCCGTCTCTAGGTGCTGGGATTCCAGGTGCATACCATATGCTTTTAGGTTGGACCAGAAATGGAACCCAAGCTTCCCTAGAGAGCTCATCATCTTAGCAGTGTGCACTACTGCAACTGGGTCTGGAAGCCATTCTTAAAAACCTCACACAGGGTCCCGCAGGTGGCGTGGTGGTTAAGGACGCTGGACTCCCACATGGCTGACCACGGTTTGAGTCCCAGACCTGGTGGCTTGCCTTCTCTCTTTTCTTGTGTCGTATTTAAATAAATTAATTAAATTAAATAAATGATTCTAAAAAAACAGAATAAAACCACCTCAGCCAGGGCCAGCTCTGTGGTGCAGGTGGTGATGTGCTGCTCAAAAGAAGCCAGATTCTACATGGCAACCAGGGTTTGAATCCTGGGCCGGGCAGCCTGCAAGGCATGCACTCGCGTGCCTAGGACCCAAAGACCTGAAGGACCGGAGGAAGGGGACTGCAGCCAGATTCTGTGCAAGGGACTTCTCTTCCTCTCCTCTTCCCTCTCTCATGCATGCACCCTATCATGAATACACTTTTAAAATAAAAATTAGTTAATGCATTAAAAAAAAAAAACCCTTCAGATCATACGCCTTGTAAATGTCGCCAAATGGTTAAAAACCCGCTACT